CGAACGGGAGGTAGCTATTTTCAAACGGAACAGTTCCACCGTTTCGTAAGTGATCAAAAACTGCAACACTTATGAAATAGGGGGTTTCGTTAGCTACCACTGTTCGATAAATGTACCAATCCACTGACCTTGCGAAGATACGAGTACACAATATTTAATTCAATATTATGGTAACAAATATTGGCCGATTTATATCGTGTTTAGTCTCATTTTAATTAGAAAAATCTTCCCCACATGATAGTAAAATTTTTATTAAAAAAAAGTAAAAAATAAAAAACTTTCTTCTTGTACAGTAGTGTGGTCACACTGACAGGGACATTTAAACTAAGATGACGAAGGCAATAAAGATTTTTAAAGAAAGCCGCTACGTCTCCGGTTACACTTCGCCTCACTGGCTCAAGGGGGATCCCCCTAGTGGTGGGGATAAAAATGTATCATTTAGGGAACAGCTCTTGAGGACATTTATCGAGTTTTCACTGTACAACTGAATCAATTTTGAGACTTTTGTCCCAATATATTACTAAGATATTAAATTCTTAAACTTTCAGAATACGTAAAAAAAGAAAAAAGAACTTGATATTTTCATCTCAAAAAATTGTACCACTCTTTAACCTGTTGAGCCATAAAAAACATCGATAGTATCAGTTATACCCCATAACGCGTCGACTAATCTTATGATGTATCCTTCGTTCTATGACCCTTATAATGGCCTGCTGGCAACGACAGGAAGAGTCACAAGACATCGGAGTGTTCTGTTCGAACGAGATCTAAAGTTGTTCGTTCGAAAAGCGTCGAAACGACGGGATGATGGCTCGTTATCGTTCATAGGAGTAGATTCTCCGTAGAACCTGGCGTTGGGACATATCGAGTCTGGTTTTTAACGGTTAGAACGAATACGAGAAAAAAATGCGGCCTCCCCGTAATGGGGCAGAGAAAAACAAAGAGCGAGGTCGGGGTAGAGAAAAAGAGAGGCGGGGAGAGAGAGAGAGAGAGAAATACGAATGCAGCAGGCCTGAGTCAGCCTACGTCTGCACCTATCGAAACACTTCGTAACGTTACACTCGAGGCTTGTAATCTTAGACTATTGTGCCCGGGGTTCTTTACATTCCAGACCACACTTGACTTAAGGTGCCCGGACCCCGGCGCGAGGAGTTTTATAAGGCGAACGTGCGCACACTGGCGTTGAGACGCGACGCCAAGAGTTTCTGGTATTTATCAGGCTGACTGGCATTTCACTTTAAGATCTTCCGACCTGACTTTTGGATTCACACATGGTTTCGAGGTTTTTAGCGGTCATCTATAAGGCAGACAATAATTTTTTCAAAGATATTTTCTTAAATTTCCAAATATATTTGTACGACTATTCAAACATAACCTCAAAAAAATAACAAACGTACCGCGTAGTGAAATCGCGTAAGCTTCATTTTAACAATATTGATTTTTCCGTCACGTTACGTTCCCGAACAACATAATTGTCCCATTCAATTAGATAATTTGTTTCTACCAAGACGTCTTGTATAAGAGTCGGGCGTTTAAGAACACAGGGACACGAGGGAAGAAAATTTCTCAATGCTTGCATACTTATCGAGCCTCGTCCCACGGTTGTTCAACGATACGGACAATTTGCATAAACTTTCAGCGAGTTTATGCAACAACGAGCCCAGCTGCTGCAATTGTTGCAGGCGTCGACAATTAATTTCCATCCGACGCCAGGCGACTAGAGAACATCCCAATTGTCGTTCGTCAGTTGAAATAGGAAATTCGAAAACTATAGAAACAGCCGAGAGGCCAGGCCATCGAATCGGTACCATGGTAATCATTGCACGCCCTGGGATCCGTAATTTCCTGTTGGAACGCGAACAGAACCCCCCGCGGCCCCTTCCCGTCCTTTTGAACAAAGATCCGTCGTTTGCCTGCCTTTACTATGTCGTTACGCAACGTTAAATCATTCGCGCGGAATTCCACGCGCGTTTTCCGCGTCGAATACTTTTCGCGCTCTTCCACCCGATAATACAGAACTCCCGGTCAACGTTGTTCGACTCAAATTAATATATTCATATCAATCTCAATTCTATAATTTCCACCCACAGTGCGGCGCATAACCAACAACGAATAAAAGTTTTAGAATTATTCGTAAACTGACTTTCGTTCGCGTTTCATTCATTCTTGGATTAACATAATAATAAAGATAACGGATCGTTGTTTTCCATAATACGAAGAAATGAGAATGGAGAAAAATATTTGATTCGAGGGAGAAAATGTGATGATTGGTAAAATATTTTTTCTAAATTACATTTTGCGAGATTCCATGGTCATTTTTTTAGTTATAATGAGATGACATACTTTTGTCACAGTGGCGTAGTAATTGATGACAAGACAAATACAATGATGTGTGACAATATGACCTTCGACTATCTCATTGTAGAACTTTAAAAACTGTACAGTGCATTTTTGGCGACAGTTCAATATGAATCGTTGTCTCTTCTCTGCACGCGTACCACATTTATTCCATACATTTTTCACAAATTCTACAATTATATTCTATACTTTTTTCATACAATCTACATATATTCTACACTTTTTCCATGCGATTCACATATCTTACATACATTTTTCACATATTCTACACAAATTGCATACTTTTCTCACACATCCTATACATATTATACATCTTTTCACGCATACAATACATACCTCACACGCATTCTACAATTTTTCACGTACACTCTATACTTATTCTATACTTTCTCCATGCACTATACACTTATACCAGACTTGCCACGGTTATTAAATTAGAGAGTAAAACACCGTGTAGTATATTTTGGGAAACGCTAATACCAGCGACACGACTTCGTAACAAACAGCAGAAATGCAGAGTTCGTTTTAAACAGTCGCAATTCTGCGAGGAAAAACGCAGTACTATTAAAAAAAAGGCATTATTACAATGGAGACTCTACAGTTTAATGTCACGTTGGTAAAGGTTACGAAAAAAATTTGTTCAACCGCGTGTATGACCTAAAAATTAAGGACTTTGAAACGATTTGACGCGCCTTGGCTTGAAAATGGTGCTACTGCTTGGAAAAACATCGCCGGAGAAATCACTTCGTAGCATTTAAAAGCTCAGCCTCCAAAGCTTCAAAACTCTTTTATTAAATCGTCGTACGCTTATTAGAAAGAAAACGTGCATAACACTAAAATTTTCCAGGGAATTTAGGGTATCGTTCTTCGTCTGAACATAATTTCCCCAACCGGTAGTTTCTTAACCTTAAAACAGGAACTTTCAAACTTATCAAGTACCATTATAAAATATAGAAATCTGATAAAAATGTTTAAAATATTGTTTAAAGCAGTGTTTCTCAACATGGGCAATTTGTATTATTTGGAGGTAAATAGAACATTCCATTTATATTATACAGGTAGCCCTCCTACAACACGGCATCCTATAACACGATTCATAAATTGCGAAAACCCTCATACAACACGGCATCTTTAACGGTTTCGCTTTAACGCGATAAGAAAATTACGAAAACCTTTGTACAACACTATACTTCTACAGCATTGGTCGATTCTAAAGGCTAAAATAGGACGAAAGTCTAGAATATCAATTTATTGATGGAGGCTTCGTTAAATAGTTATTAACGTTTAAAGTTCCGCCTGTACTGAATTTTTTTCTCGAAAATGCGCAGGATTTCGGGGGTATGTCTATTCACTAAAACCAACAATAATTTTTTCAGAACGATTTCAATCTTTTCAACTTCGCCGAAAAATTTAGGCATCTACCTCCTGTCGATTTTTCTTAAAAATTCGTCTTTCATTTTTAGTAATTTTATTTGATGCCCTACAGAAAAGTTGTCTAATACTTTTTTGTAGATACCCATGAGCTCTACATTAGAAAAAAGTTTCAGTGATATACGTTTACTATTGTAGGTGTTATGGCCGTTTGAAAATTGGATCATTTTTATGGTGTTTTTCTCATTTTGTGAGGTCAAGGAACAACTTTTCGGATATTTTTAGAATTTCTACATAATCTTCACCAAAATACACGTTGTTTGCCCTTTGAAACATTAAAATCCCCCAATCCGTTCAGAAGTTATGACATTTTAAATATTCGCATGAAATTTCGGGAGTGAATTTCTGGCCTCCCATTAGATTTTCAGTCAAGAATTTTTTTCTCGAGAGTGCGAAGGATTTCGGGGGTATGTGTAATAACAAAAAATGATTGTAATCGACTTCTGCAACCAAAAATAATTTTTTTAGAACGACTTGAAAAATTTTTTTTCACCGAAAAATTTCAACACATACCCCAATTTTTTTCTCGAAAGTGGGTAGCATTTCGGGGGTATGTGTATTCACCAAAAATGATTGTAATTGACCTCGGCAATCAAAAATAATGTTTCATAATGATTTGAAATTTTTTAATAATTTTTTAACGAAGCCTCAGTCAAGAAATTGATATTCTTGATTTTCGTTTTATTTTGGCCTCTAGAATCTCCCATTAAAATTTTTCCCAAGAGTGGTCGAACACCCTGTATAAACAAATTATAATTTATTAAATTAAGGTTGCGTGAAATTAAAATAATATACTTATGTAGAATTAAAAAAACATATTTGTTTTTAATAAGTTTTCGGAACGTAACTCCCCTTTTTATACTGGTTCTAGGTCTCATATAACACGGTTTCATACAACACGGCATTTCCTAGGAACCTATTTACCGTGTCATAGAAGGGTTACCTGTACTTCTTTAGAATATGGTTGCCTATCATACTTACATACAAGGGGACATCCAAATCTTTGAAGAGTCGAAGAGGGGGGGCATGATCCGAAAAAGATTAAGAAACACTGGTCTAACGTTAAAGATGAACAAATAAACCATATAAAAATTGCGAATCGCAAACGAAAATATCCTGTAATATTTCATCAACGTACCATGCTGAAAATCTGGACATTTGTCGTCGATGGAATCGATCGCGAGATCTTTGTTCCCGAAAGAAAAGCGTACCTGGTATTTCCTGATGGAATGCAGTTGCTGCTGCGTAGGCTCGGCGTTGGCGTTATCGGTGGTCTCCACATTATTGTTCTGCGTGGACAGACGTAGATTATCTTTCGGCGGTCTGGCAGGTGCCCTCTTTTGATCTCTGGGGGGGATGGCAGGTTTCACCCCGTTCAGACCGGCCTAAAAATCCGTTCCGAAAAGAAACACTTCGTATTAATCGTTCCCTCGCCATTGATCGTCGCGATCGCGACTACCGGAAGACGCCTTCCTTTGTTCCTCGTGCTTTTCTCCATCGTCCTTTCTATATTTTACTTCGACGCGTCTCTACCGTTTCAACGATGTAACGACGATTCGAGGAAATTCCTGACGCGCCAACGCGCATGCGCGCGTCTTCGGTTCTCGACTACACGAAAGCGAAGAACGGTTGGAGAATCGGAGAGAGAGAGAAAAAAAACAGGAGATGCAAGAAAAGAGAAGAAAAAGCGTGCAGCCAAAGATGCGGGGACACGTGCACTACGAGAGATACAGTTCCTACGATCACGGAAGGTGCTTACAATGGGTTTCTTGTCTACTTTACCATGCTTGTCAAGGCCAAATGTGTGTGTCCGTTCCGCATGCGTTCTCAATCGATTCGTGTCCAACGAAAACGGTCCGTGTTCTTGCGGCTTTATCGACCGACGATCGCAGAAGAATTCCAAAACATTCGCGACGAGTCTATTTAGTCGCCTATCGATCGTTCGATTGAGAAAAGTCGGAAAACCGTGATCTCGATATGTTCCTGGAAACGTTGTTCTCGATCGCGACGGATTCGTTTAAGAAAACTGATTGGAAAGTCGATTCCTCCTATCGATTGTACAATATTTTAAGTTACGACGTTAAAAGATTCGGCTCGTACAAGTACGTAAGCCGTAGGATATAAGTAACAATGGCTGAATTGCAAATGAACTTGCTGGAACAAAATATTAAAAATGTCTCGGACCGCAAAGGGTTAGAAAACGTCCGCCGTTTTCACGGTTCTGCACACGGTCGCCGACAAACCCAAAGAACATTTACCGAACCGTTTTAACGAAACAAGCTGAGGTGTCAGCAACCGTGACAAAATAGCCGGCTGTAACGTAGAGTCACTCGATTTAATACAAATATTTGAATAAATTTCATTGAAAAAGAGTGACATTCAAATATTTTTGTCAAATCGTCTGACGTGGTTACTTGCGTCACAAAATTACGCGTGGTCCTACTCTTTTGTTATTGTCAGCTATTTTGTCCGGATAGCTGGCAGCTCTGATCAGAAAAATACAGTAATGCACCGTGAACTTTCACTAAATTCTGCACATTGGATTCTAAATCACAGGAAAGTTAACCATGCATTACTGTATAATCCTGGAAGGTCAAAGGAAAGTTTACCTGGTGCTGTACAAGCTCGTCGAGGCCCTGGTACAAAGAGGGCGCACCTATCTTCAAAGCGTCCGATCTCGGGTTCGTTGATCTTGGTGTTTCCCGGCTCAAGTCGTGTAAAGAAAAATCGGGGGTTCCCGACGGATTCAGGGAAGAGGTGGTCAAATTCGAGGCCGACACCCAGGACTGAAATCCTGAACGAGACGAGGACAGCTCGGAGTCGCTCTTCGACACGTCGCGACACTTGGACAGATCGTTAGCAACGTCCAAAACTTTGGAACGTTTGTATTCGAGAGAGAGTCGTGTATTTTTTTGATTTTGCGCGCTTGGGGACTCGTCCAAGAGAACGGACCACCCTTCGTCGCTCTGATTTCCCCGTGTTTTCGCGCTTGTCTCGCGTAGAGAATTGCGAGAGTTCTGATTGGTCTCCTGAACGAACGATAATCGTTGCGATAAATTACTCGACGCGAGGGGCTTTTCGTCGAGCGAACGATCTTTGAGAACGGGGCTGCTGGTATCGGTCGCAGCAAAATCTGTGGTCACGTGGCACGAGAAACGCACTTGCGCGTGCGCGGGGCGACAAAGATCGCCGGTGGAGGCGCGGGTCGAGCCAAGATCGTTGTTCGAGGCGCCGCGAGTGTGTATTTCGCGAACTAACGAGCGTGGAGCTGGGACTGGAGCGGAGTTGGAGCTTAGCAAGAACAACGAGCGATTAGCAGGCGTGAGATGCTGCGTGCTGTAAGCGTGAAGCAATTTGCGATGGCGTGGCGGCGTTGGCTCGTGATGCACGAAAGAGAGGAAGCTGTCGAGAAACAAACTCTTGACTTTGGACCTTACCTTCTTCGAGGAGTCGTGTTTTCTGTCTAGCGTGCGCGCGGCTACGGTCTCCGTAGCGCGTTCGTTACCGCTAGCCAGCATGGCGAGGCTAAGGTCGTTCGAGGGAAGACAGGGCGACGATGCCGCGATCGCGATCGTCCCGTCGTCCCCGCGCCCCCCCGCCGTCAGACCCCAGTCTCTGTTTACCGTCCCGTTACGTTCCCGTTTCGGTTCGAGGGTGTTGTGCTTGCTGTTGCCGGGGGTCTTGTTCGGCGGAGGATAGACGGGATGGCACTTGGTCACGGGGACGAAATCGGGCGGGCAGTCGACGGCCACCTCGCGATAGGTTTTGCCGCCGACCACCAAAAAACTACACTCCGCGTGCTCGTGTTCGGTGGACGCGTCGCTCCTCAGCGTCGAGTAGCCACTGGAGATCTGCTGGTGTCGTTTCTTCTTCGGTCGCTGTCTCGAGGACGAGGAGAGACTGCTCCCCGACTCGATGCCCACGAGATCTTCGTTGGAGCCTGCTCGTATCAGCTCCTCCACGTCCAAGCTTCTAGTTTTAGCCTTCAGTTTGGCACGTTCGTCGGTCGGGCGGCGTGGCTTCGAGCTCTTGGTCGACTTACCGACCGGCGTGAACGACTCGGACGGCAGCAGTTCGACCCGCTGATGCGACTCCTTGGCACGAACAGGGGAGACTTGGTCCCGCGGTAGCCTAGGGATTGCGCATTGCTCGTCGATCAACCTGGTCAGGTCGGAAACTTCGTCCGATCGCATCAGCAGGCCCTGTAGATCCTGCAGGTCGGCCAGCCCGTACGCTGGATTGTCAAAAGACGTGGTGTCCCTGGTTCTGGCGAACAGAGGGGCCACCTTGATCTCGGGGATCACCGGTCGACACGGTGAGCCCAAGTCTATTCGTCTAGCGTCGTAGGTAGGCGAGTCTTTGCCTCGGTTCTTCGCGTGCCTTAGCACCAGACTACTGTCCAGCGGCGCGGTGCTGTCCGACCTACCGGATGAGCTTCTGGGACTGGCCGAATCGTCGCTGCATGTCTTAAGCATGGTCGGATAGTCCTCCTTTGCGAATGGATAATCCTCCTCGACGTCCACGTCCACGCTGGACTCCTTCTGACCCGACGTGTCCTCGTTCACTCCCTCGTCCTCCTCCTCCTCGAAACCCTTGAAAGGATTCTTTAGATCCGGGGAGCCCAAGACGGACGGGCTACGTCGGTGGTTGTCTGTGCCTGGGTCCTTTTTCGACTTGTTCGGCTCCTCCTCGTCCTCGAGATTCGCCGACGGCTCGATCTTCAGTTCGATCTTCACCATGGGCGGCTGACGATGGTGCCCATTCCTGGCGCAAGGTGGCCTAGCGGTCGAGTCGGTCGCGTCCGTGTTCTCGACGGTTCTAGCGCGATCGTCGGCGTTGGTGATGCGTGGCGGTGGCGGTGGCGGTGGCGGTGATTGCGGTGACTTAAGGGTCTCGTTTTTAAGGTTTAGGGAGAGGTCGAGGTCGCTAGCTAGGTCGCTACAGGGGCCACGAAGCTCGTTCCTATAGTCGGAAGAGCAGTTCTTTACCTTGTTGGGATAGGCCTTCTGCAGGAGGGTGTCGGGCACGTCGACTGGTAGCTCCCGGTGAGGCCCCAGGCCGCCAGGGGCCCACATCTCATCGGGACCCAGTCCCTCCTGCGGCTTCTTAGCGTTGTTGTTCTCCTGCAGCTGGTGATGCTGCTGGTGATGATGATGCTGCTGGTGCTGGTGCTGCTGCTGTTGCGAGTGTATGTCCGGCACGCCACTGGCGCTACGAATTCGGGACCTGCGGGACAAACACCAGACGGTGACCTTTTTTTAACGATTTTCGATGCAACGAGTGGCCCCCCTCCCTACGTCTCTTTCTCGAGGATCCCCGGTATAACCGAGTTCGGGAAACGCTGTGTTGTTTCCCTATTCATCAGCGTTCCACTCGCGCTATTTAGAGAACAAAGTGCCACGGCGCGTGCCGGTTGCTACTTGGAAATTCGCCTCGAACGCCGATGACACGGATCTTTTTCAGATTTTATGCCAGAATAGACAATTTTCACTCGATACATCACGATACATTATAAAATAATTCGAAACGTATTTATTTTTTTTTTCTAACAAAAGATTGATCTTCTTTGCATAATCTGATCATGTTACTATCAAAAAGTATCTTTTCTATTTTTCTCGAAACTGGAACATGTCTTCGACAACTTTTTAATTTGTCGTCTTTAATTATGGCGATTGTTTGAATTTAATATACAATAATAATAACGCGAACTCGAGGCAGAATTTCAAACGTTTTCTAAAATGACAAAGTAAATACAAATACACTAGAAAACGTACGTTTTACTTAGGAATTATTTAAATACATTACACTAGCTATACATTACGCAGTACTGCCTCGTTTTTTGCATCGATTTGCGTCTCGACGGACTCGATTCAATTGCAAGAAGCGAGGTAATAGTGTACAAGGGAACAAAGATGGGCAAACGTTTCTACGAATAATTTGTATTACGACTATCCAACAGTACTCTACGAAATGTTCATTATTTTATCCGTGGCACATAGCTACTTTCTACAATTATTCTAGTATTTGTTTGTCGACGTTACGAAAATTCGTATCTAGGTAAGAATTTCGCCAAGTTCTGCGCTCGGGGGAATATGCTAACTACGGAAAAACGGAATTTACTGTGTGGACGTTAACGAGTTTTCTAAACTCGTTTCTTCGGTTAAAGTTACAGCCACTTACCGGGCGTGAAATTATAGTTCAAAGCAAAGACGCGCAAAGTGCATTGGGCCAATCCGAACTTCGAAACAAGTTTGAAAATTCACGCGGAAAAACTTGTGCGTATAATTGGTTTTAGAAATTGTTTTTGCTTCGTTTGTTATTCTGACCAAACGATGCGATAACTGGAAGAGAATTGGAAGAATCTGCTAGTTGAGGTCTACGTTTCCGTTGGTATAGGCGGAATAACGAAAAATTGGACCCGACAGGAATTTTGAATCGGACGAAGTTAAACGTTCGTAACTCCTCCGACTGAGATAAACAATACTGGACATTGGCTGGATTCCAAAGAGAATATAAATAGAATAACCATGGTACGACATTCCCCTTGACCCACGACTTATCTTTCTTTCTCGCTACGAGAGAAACAAGATGGAAGGTGCGTCAGCGTTCCGTCATAGTTTTTCCGAATCTGACCGAGTTTCTCGGTTGCCAGGTTTCCTCGGGCTTCGCTGGAGGCTCTTATCGTGATCTAGAAACTTGCACGAAACTTCAGACGCGCGAAACGAACGAGATATAATTCCTGAAACGACGCGAAATAGCCGACGCCAAATCAGATTTCTACACCTTGTTCGATCTACCGAAAACAATAAAAGTTTTCCTAACGTACAGGGCTGTCGAGTGCAAATAATATTTGCGATTAATTTTTGCTCGTAACACACTGATTAAACTCGTGCTCGAAGAAACGTTTGTTAGCAACGAACGATTAATAATTGTTAATAAATATTGATCTTTTTCTCGGTCACTACCAAAGCAGTCAAAATGACCCATCCAAGATTTCTAATGAAACTTGTAAAAAATTTACTCGACTGAATTTTTGAAAATTTACTGTTATTTAATAGTTAATTTGCACATTTCTTCACGTATTTATCATTTTAATTTCTTTGGTATAAATAAATACGCCATAATTGACGGTAGTTTTAGTGTTAAACGACGCGAACAAAAAAAAAGCAAACAAAGAAATTCGACAAAATGGCAGTCGTTGGAACGAAGTTTAGCCTGAGAACACCTGGGTTAAAGAATTAATGAAAATGGTCAGCCCCCCCTCCCAATGCTCTAACCCCCAAGGAATTCGCTCGCGGAACTTACCAGTTCAACGAACATCGCGAAAGAGTCGGCGTGAATAACGCGTTAGAAATTTCAAGTCGAAAGTCGCGCAGGCACGCCGGTCCCTTCTCGATCGTGGGCCTCGATTGTCCGACTGCGATTGTGCCCGAGGAATTTTATCGAATCGACAATTAGCCAGCTTGCCGAGCATTTGCAAAGGCTACTGAACGACTGTTCCGGCTCCTGGTCTTTACGATTTTAACACTAAATCTACCGAAGAAATCGAAATCACTTGTTTTGTCATTTACAATAAAAAAACTTTTTAAAACTGAACATATGAGATATACAGTGTTCGACTAATCTTGGGAAAAATTTTAATGGGAGACTCCGAAGGCCAAAATAAAACGACAATCAAGAATTTGTTGATTGAGACTTCGTTAAAAAGTTATTAACAAAATTACTATCAAAAATTATTAATAAATTTTGTCCATCTACACGAATTTTTTTCTCGAAAGTATGTAGGATTTCGGGGGTATGTCTATTCACCAAAAATGATTGTGATTGACCCCCGCAACCGAAAATAATTTTTTTAGAATGATTTGAAATTTTTTTTCGCTGAAAAATTTAGGCATCTACCCCGTGCCGATTTTTCTTAAAAATTCGTTTTTCATTTTTAATAAATTTGTTTGACGCTCTACGGAAATGTTGTCTAATACTTGTTTGTAGGTATCTTGGGCACTACTTCAGAAAAAAATTTCATTGAAGTATATTCACTAATGTGGGAGTTACGGCTGTTTGAATATTGAACCATTTTTATGAGGTTTTTATCACTTTACAAGGTTTAGGAACAATTTTTCGAATTGTTCAGAATTTCCACACATTTTACAGTAAAATACGCGTTGTTTGCTATTTGAAATATTAAAATCCTCTAATCTGTTCAGGAGTTATGACATTTTAAAGATTTACATTCTCAGGGAAGCATTTCTGGACTCGCATTAGATTTTCGGTAAGGAATTTTTTTCTCGAAAATGCGCAGGATTTCGGGGGTATGCCTATTCACCAAAAATGCTTATAATTGATTCCCGCAACCAAAAATAATTTTTTAGAATGATTTTAAATTTTTTAATTTAATTTTGTATTAACTTTTTAACGAAGCCTCAATCAAGAGATTGATATTCTTGATTTTCGTCTCATTTTGGCCTCTAGAATCTCCCATTAAAATTTTTCCCAGTGGTGGCCGAACACTCTGTATAGGCACTTCTCATATATTGTAATATTTGTAAAATATGTCGGTCAACGATACAAATATACTGTCATAAACATATTTAATAATGTAAAAAAATTTGTCGAACCACAAATATACCGTCGTATACTCGTATTCAAATAAAGATACCACGCGTCCTACGACAAACACCGGAATTAGCATTCGACCTTAAAGTTTCTAAAGATGGCTACGTCTTAACGATCGAAAGCACTATTCCCAACGTTATATATTTATACGACATTTACAACTGTCAGATTGTTTGTCCTCCTGCCCTGAGCTAAGTATAGCGAAATGCACCTTCGAGAACGTTACGAAAATTCTTTCGTTTCAAACCGAAACTGTGCATATCTCGTGATATGGAGGTATTGATCCCCTCACTAGGTTATGTAACGTTGCAAACCAAAATACTGCAATCGCTTACATTTCTCTACAGACAACGTGCGTCCATTAAATCACATTTGTCAACATTAATATCTCGCAACCGGTGAAAGTAAATTCCGTAATTCTTTAAATCTATCGTATCACAATTCCATTTTTTATTCCATTATCAACATTATCAACATCCTTACTAAATTTATTTATATCTTTTTACAGAAGTTTGTTTCTAAAAAGTTCCATTTAAATTATGTTGTATTCATAGGTTTCTTAATATATGAAGTTAGGTCATAAGGGGTACCAACTTCAGTTTTGATATTTATCTTTATAGGTTGCAGATCTGTCTCAACTTTTCAAGAACTTACTCTGTTACGACATATTGTAAAACACACACATGTTCTCTATTCGAATTACTTTTCCTTATTAAATCAACATATTATTCATACATCCTCATTATATCTTTTTATTCACACGGCCTTCTCAACAGGTTATGGGCCCAGGAGCGTAGTGTGAATTATATTTTGAAGAAAGTATTAAGGAGTGAAAGTTGTTTCACTTTAAAAAAGGTTAAAAGTAACACGTGCATGTACAGTGCAAAGAGATTTCTTCTTCCGCCTATGTGCAAAAGTAAATGAAAAAAGGAAATTTTCGCCGCCAGAAACACACTCGTTATTACGATGGAAACAGGAGATAGAGAACTATTATCCGTTAAGAAACTCCAAAGTGCGGAGAATTGGAATATATGGAAGTTCCAGGTAACTGTTTTGATAAAAGCTCAAAGAGCATGGGAAATTGTGACGGGAGAAAAACCCCTACCAGCAGCATTAGTTGCAGACGCATCAGATGCACTTAGAAAAGAATATATAAAGGAAGTGACAGAGTGGCAAAAGTTGGATGCCGTAGCCCAAAAGATAATGGTTACAACCGTATCAGAACAGTGCATGTTGCACATAATTAACCTGCAATAGTGCAATGGAAATGTGGACGAAACTACAAGGAATTTATGAGCAAAAATCAGAAGTTTCAATTCACGCCCTTCAACAAAAATGGTTCACGATGACCAAGGACACATCTGACGATATGGCCACCCACATAGCTAAGGTAGAAAACTTAGCATACAGATTACAAACTGCCGGTGAGGCAATATCAGACAAGATGATAATGACCAAAATCATTTTAACACTTCCGTCTAACTTCAAACATTTTGCAACGGCTTGGGAATCGACGCCCGAGACAGAGCGTTCAAAAATAAATCTCATTGCTAGGCTGAACATAGAAGAATTTCGAATAAATCAGACGGAAGGAGGAAATGGCAATGCTCTCA